CTGTTTTCGGGGAGGACCCAAATTAGCTTCATTTGGGGACCTAGAGTCGATTGATTAGCATCATTAATCCATGTTTTGGAATTAAAACCCTTGGAATTATGATTTGAAACATGAAATTGATTATGGCACACTAATAGGAAAATCAAAGGATATGATTGAGTCTGAATTACTTTAGAAATGTGATTGGAATCCTAAAGTATTGTCTTGTGACAGTGATAGCGGAGGACTCGGACTGAGTGGCTTAAGGAAGCGGAAGCTAGGATAGTGCGTTGCTAGCCACAAGTTTGGTAAATTTGAGGTAGGATTTCTATCCCCTTTTCCTTGTGAGCCTGATTTTCAAAAAGAGTTTTGACCTTCCAAATGTTTTAAAGAAAGGGGCTTGTTTGCGAAAGAAAACTATTTGAAAACCTTGGCTTGTTGTAGTTCATGGGGACCCATGACTTGTTGTAGTTCATGGGGACCCACGACTTGTTGTAGTTCATGGGATTATAATAACGATTTCATGATGTTTAATGAATGATTTCTTAAGAAAAGAGAACTTGCGAACCGGTAAGAAAATATTGCTGATGGCCTAGATAGGATGTGGAGAGTGCATCCTCGGGGGCAGAACCCGAAACTCGGTCCGGGTAGGCTTGTGCACTTGGTTGTGTAAGTAATTTGTACAAATTCTTACTGATGCCTGTAATACGGTAATTTTCAGTTTGTCTTCCTGTCAGAAAAAGGATATGAGGTTCCGGCTGTCGTGTTGGAACTGAATGTCTTATTTATTTACGCGCTCATTTATTTATTCATTTATTTATTCATTTATTTTAAGTCATTCCAACTATATCCTACTGGGCCTTTTGCTCATGTTTTACTGTTTTATGAATATTTAACCCCTCCCAGGAGACTCTAGGAGCAGTGCGGAGTAGCTGGATATTTGCTACTGTTGGGTCCAGTGAGGATTGTGTTCATCCTCTGACATATAAATGTAAGGAAGTGAACTTCTGTAAACTCATGTAATAATTGGATTTATTAGACTGTGGTTAATGTCTGTAATGATTATTTACATGTTTATGTATGTACAATACTGAATGTCTTGTGGGTGAAGCCCTGTGTGTTGTCAGAGGCTCAAGACTTAGAAATTCATATTATATTTAAATCAAGTTAAGTAGGGGTCCGTTTAGGAATTTTCTTTATTAACCCCTAATCAAGGTCCACGTCACCCACCCCGTTTGGGGGGGGGGGGGGGGGGGGGGGGGGGACGTGACACTTAGTTATTAAGTGGCAGGACAGCTCTTATCATGGGTGGCTGATTATTCATCAAGAGTTAAATTGCTGTGGACTGCTGTAGAAGTTGAGGGGCATACATAAAAAGCAGTTAGACCAGGTCAGAAAAATGGGAACAAGATTTTACTGAAGCATCGAACAGCATCGTGTAGCATTGTTTCCCCTCGCGAGAAGCTGATTTGGTTCTGAAGGGTTTAAATGGGACGGTGTCGCTTTGGCGGAGGTGAGAGCAGATTACCAGCCATCTAAAACGGTGGCATTTTGGTAATATGATGAGTAGATTGCCAGCCATTGAAAACAGCGGCGTTTTGGCCCAATTTAATTTGCTCTCGACCCATGGGAAGACAATCTCTCGGAATAGGGCTATTCTGCTCTGCACCATTCTCGTGGGTAAGCCTATCAATGTGGGATGGCTGATCATCGATCAAATCCGGGCGTGTGCAAAGAAAGACAAGGGAGGTCTGTATTTTCCTTCCCTCATCTCCGAAATGTGCATTCAGGCCAATGTTCCTTGGGACGCGGGTAAACCACGTATGCGGAATACTAGTCCAATTAATTTGGTGGCTATCACGCGAATATCTTCCGGGAGGGCTGACAAGACGGCGCAAGGTGAAAACGCCAGTGAAGGAGAGGACAATGAGGAGGCACCGACCAGGCCCTCTGCGAGCACTACTGTATCTGCGTCTGCGGCTCAAAGTCAGGCGTGGCTTGAGCAAAGGATGAGCCTCTTCGAAGTGCAGCAGCTTGAGATGTTTGAGATGTTGCAACAACAACAAGAACAGCTAGGTAAATTCTGGGTGTACTCTCGGGACAGGGACAGGGCCTTAAAGAAATCTCTTCAATGCAATTTTTCTAAGCCCATGGCCAATTTCCCTGCTTTCCCAGAGGAGCTGATTCTGCGGGCACACGCTTCCGATGCTAATGCCGAGGCATCAGCCCAAGCTGTTGATGAGGACACCACTGATGGTGTCCAGCAGGAAGAGCCGCCAGCTGCCGTTGCTGCCGATGTTCCAGAGCTTTCATCGTCGCGTGGAAAGAAGAAGGGCAAAGCTGTGGTTGACGACCTGCCACCCAGGCGACGTTCAATGCGCAACCCGTTGAATTTGAAATGGAATTTATGACGCACAGCGAGGGAGTTTTCTTTTCCTATGCACTTTATTTGTATGTTTTTGTGTTTAGAATGGTTAATTTTCATTTTTTTGTGCAGTGAGGACACTGCTCCCCTTTAAGTTTGGAGGGGTGTTTTATATTCTTAGATTCTTTTTGTCAGTTTTTTGTGTTTTTAATTATTGTTCAAAATTATTATTATTTTTTAGATGGTTGTTCTCTGGTTCTGGCTGATTTAGTGGTTAATCTAAGGATGCCTAATGATAGTTTAGTTGTTTGGAAATGTTTGAAAACTCTGGATTTATTAATTCGAATGACTCAATAGGAAAATTTATTGTGGACTAATTCCCAGGAAATATCCATTCCCCTTGTTTAGCACTTGGATTGTGGTTAGTAAGTTAAGAAGAACTTAAGGATCTTTGAACTATTGGGAGGCCTAAGGTTTTAGAACTAGTTTAAAGAACCTTTTGAGGCAACAGTAGGGAGCCAAGCAGCTAGGAGGAGCCAGGATTGGGTAGGGAAAAACTTAAGTTTAGGGGGGGGGGGGGGGGGGGGTTGTATGAAAAAAAAAATTTGAAATAAAACGTGAATTAAGTTTGAACACTCCTCTATTTTGAGCTGCTGAGTAACGAGGAGTAACATGTGCCCCATGTGTACTTTTACGTAAAAAGATAGTTTAAATCATGAGTGCTGAAATAGCAGCTCTGAAGCATAACCTTATTGAGTAACCGGGTGCCTTCATCACCAATGTTGGCATTCGCGTCAAAAGGTAGGAGTTATGCGAAGAATTTCAAAAAAAAAAAAAAAAGAATAAGCCCTGCCCCTCAAAATCGCCCAATTTTTGGTGAATCTTAGGTAATTGGTAATCTACAATGCGGACAGGGGTTTGATAAGCCAGCCTATGAAACCACTATTTAGGTGTTATGATCATAGTTCATTGGGACTTAGGTGATTCAAGAGTTGCTAGCCACAGTTTCCACACACACACTTAGGGGAAGATTAATTTCTGGGAGAGGTCTAAGATGAATTGAACTAGAGAGTCATGAAGGTTGTTATTGAACGAAGGGTTAGGATGGAAAAACAACTTTGAGGGACGAGGGTTTACCACATTCGCAGCAGAAACCAGATTTTTAGTCAAGCAGTAGAGTCTTGTAGTTGTCCTCTCTTACTTAATTGTGTTTGATTTTGCGTCATTACTTGAGGATGAGTAATGGTTTAAGTTTGGGGGTGTGATAACTCTATGAAAATAGAGTTAATTGAGCATTTTCCGGGCTTAAATTATTACCTAGAGAGTATTTAGTTTTAGTTTTATCCTTTATTTTGTGTTGTTTCTAGTTTTTAGTTAGTTATGTTTCATGAATTCTCTCTTGTGTGTTTGGCGCTTAAAAAGAGCTAATCCGGGTGCATGTTGTGATTATTTTCAGCTTTGAGAAAGCATTGTCGTTTTGGAGGCTAGCAACAACTTGTCAAGGAAATTCTAGTCAGCATTGCTCTACCAAGCCAGCTGGACTAGATTCACATGTTGCTAACAGCTGGGCCTGAGCTGGTAGAATGGGCTAATTTAACCGTGAAGGGTGCTGATTTAGCTGCTCATTGGAGGCTTTCTTAGGGGCTGCCACGTGGAATTAGGGTACAATAAGTACCTACAGCTGAAAGAGAAGAAGGCGTCCTTGGTCAT